GGAAACGTTGTTGAGATGGGTTCTTACAATAGTTTAGACCAGATACATTCGCGAAAGTGGTCGCTTATTACAGGTGTTGTATGTTGTTTCGGACCAAAAATCGATGCCCGCGGTCGCGTTACACAGGTGGTCGTTTAATACAGGTAACTTATACGAAGACTCTATAGATAAACTATTCGGTGCCAGAAATTTTTGCCCGTTTTGACGGTGCCCGTCGAATGCAGGTGGTTGCCTAAGCAGTTTTCACTGTACTGCATATTAACATTTTTTATATTAATTTATAGTAAAAGCATAATATATTTGACAATTTTCGCTTTAAATTTATTTCATAAACAAACAATAATTTTAAAAAATCTTACATTATATAGTGATGTTTGGCATTATTCCTATGCTTCTCTTTTTTGTTCTGGAATTTCCATGTTCACAGTAATCACGACCTGCTGGTAAGCTTCCTCTGCAAATACCTTGCCGGCATCTACCGTCCCAGCCAGCAGTTGAACCGTGTGGACCATAACATATGTACATATTATCTCTGGTGCAATCTCCTCCTATAAAACCGTGTTCTCGCTGAAAACCACAATAAGTACCGGCTCGACTGTAGCAATAGCACGATCCTGCAGACGAATCTACAACGAATAAAAATTGAAATTTTCGAATTAAACGTTAAATTATAACTTTCGTATGAAACAAATGTAAGAAGGGAAACATAAATATAACTCATTGTTTAGAAATATCAATATTATTTTAATTTATAATATTTTTATGTGTCTTTTAGGAAGTTTCGGATTTCTGTAAAATTTTCTCTTTCTGTCTATTAACTGTCTACATACAATTTGCAAATATAAAATATTATTTTATCATACACGAAACGCTAGGCGCTAAAGCCATTTAGAAATAATCAAACTCCGAAATATAACGTAATTAAAACTTGTAATGATTCATTTTACAAGTTGCAATGAAACACTTCCAAATGCTAATTTGTGTTAAGAAAAATCTATTAAATATATAAAATTATTCAATAATAGACTATAATTATTTCTATTGCAATATAACTCACGTAATGTATTACGCATGTAAGTAAGAATTAATTATTACCAAGTATAAATTTTGCAAAGACGATGATTATTATTCTGCAGTTAAATAACATGGTGTTATTTTACTTTGTTGTTGCATGTCAACAAATATCTCGAAATTGACACCAATTGTGTCCATCTCGAACAGCCCTAAACGATTGTTTTGATAATTGTGCAATCATTTACGATTAACAAAAAATATTTTATCTGATGTTTCTGAATACATAAAATAGAAAAATGCATGCAAATCGGATTTAATGGAAGTAAGAGTGGATTAACTTAATCAATAGACATCCGCAATGACACGAAATCCGCGTATGCCAATCTACGTAAAAGAAGACATTGCCATCAATAATCATTACATAAATTTTAAAAGGTTTCGAAAAATTTTAATTTTAAACATCTCATTGCTATTATTTTACATACTAAATTTCTTGAAACTGGTTTAACGTCTTTGGTTATGAACGCGATCTCCAGCGAAGGACATTAAAAATAGTGCTTTTTCTGAGAAAATTCTTTTCCAAAAATTCTCGAAAATGGAAACTGATAAAATGAAATATTTTTTTGCGATAGAATTTTATTTAATTCTTCTATTAACGTACGGGTCTCGTTCGAGTTTGTTAATGTCCTACAATTTAAAAAATTCATTAATGATACGCCTGCTGCCCGATAATGCTGTTCACCACACTTTACGTAAGACTTTAAACTGACTGAAAAACAGTATGGATACTAAATAACGGACCATCCTGCAGTGGCGTAGCGAACATAAATGGCGCCCCCTCCCCTCTCCAGAAACACATATAGGGCACCATGTGGGCGCCCCTCTGCGAGTGGCACCCGGTGCATGATACACCCCCTTGCACCCCCCTCGTTACGCCACTGCCATCCTGCGCATAGTCTGGGTTTAGTACCCTCTGATTTTTACTTTTTGCATCTTTTAATGTTATTAAAGCACAGTAACATATCAAACCCGTTTCTACCAGCTAAGCAGACGAATTTCCAGTGAATACACCATGCCTGCATTTGCTTTCCAGTCTGATAATGCTCAGAGACAAGCTACACATTATTTCAAAAACAATCTCCGCCGAGATAGCCTTTTTCTCTTCAGAAACCATAATAAAATTTCAACTTGACCATAACAGAAACAATCTCCTGCATTGCTATTTAAAATCTAATTAACGTAGTCCTTATGAAACAAGTTATGTGTCGACAGATATAGAATTGAAAATACTTAAATCTATACTTACAATGAACATAAGCCAAAATTAAAACGACGGCAAAGAGGAAATACTTCATTCTGTAGTATGAACTTGGATACGAAATACGGAATACGCTTTGTGATGATAGAAAACGAATTTAATATAGACGAACGGTTTTCATCTTTATATAGAATTTGATAGTGATTTCACTAGGCTAATGTAATAATAATTTAGCGAATAATTTCGTGATTATCCTTTTAAAATATGTTGTAAGAATTGCGACTTTGGATGAAAGTATTAAATTGGTTATTCTTTTGTTGTATCGAATTTCATATTTCTCGAAATTATTTAAGGAAAAAGTATATAATTCACTAATGGTAAAGTAAATTTTTGTGAATTTATTAAAATAAAACGAAATAAAAACGATTATTTTTTATCATGGTTACTTTAAATAAACTAAATACAAAAAAATTTTGCTACAAAGGAAATAAATGTAATTAAATTTTGCACATCGTTAATTTGTTTCTTTACTTTCCATATGCTACAGTAGGAATACGTACTGTGTACACGCCACAGTCGATTTTTATGTGATAATTTCACAATTTATTTAAAAGAGTTTAACATAGCAGTTACAATCCAATTCAGAGGTTAACTAATTATCGTTCAAAAATTAGCTTAAAATTGATATCAACTTAACTTTATCTGAAAATAAATTTACCTTCTCTAGAATAAGATACTTTTTTTCTGAATTTGAAATTGAAAAGGTGTCCTCACAGCAAAGCGCCGTTTATTCACTATATTTATGGGGTCACAGCTATAACATTTGAAATATTTATATGTATAAATGTATTAAGATTTATTATAATATATTAAGATGAAATGATTACTGTTTTCGTAGTTAATCTGATTCAGAGTTCTAATTCGGTTGTTAACTTGTCATTCATGTTATTATAATCTGGATCTTACTACGATTTTCTGGTTCGATCTCACCACCCCTTCCAATTCGAATTTTTCTAATTACACTTCTGCGGATAAACTCTCGACTTACGAACTCGATCGTAACTTTCCCACGCTCAATATTCGACAATATTTATATATTTATTTCCAAAATATGGTCCCGTGAACATTAGAATAGAAAGTAGTGTCTGACTGTAGACAATTATCCTCTACATTGTAGTACTTCAACATGTTTTTTCTGTTTTTCAACCAGAGTTTTCTTTTTATTTTTAACAGCAGGGTGTTTAACATCAGTAGTAAGTACGCCTCAATTTTCATGTAAATACAGGCATTTGCGTAAGTAAGAAATTAATAAAAAATTAATTCAATATAAAATGCTTGTATATTTCTCGTTAATTAACATNGACCTACTCGAATATTGACAGTTACATTCAAAGAAAGGATCCACACCAAACACTAAAGCCATTGATAAACACGGTTGAAGTAAACATCTCAAGCACACTTCACTTAGTTCTTTCATTTCTTTTCTTTTTTGCAGTCAGGACTTAGCAAAACGTCAGTTATCTCTGTAAATTAGCTGAGTGACAAATCTTTTCCTAAATTTCGTTCAAAGGAACTTCGGCTTTGTATCAAGGACAAATGTTTTGCGAAACAAATGCTATTATTATAAATGCGTGTTTTCTGTGACAATACTTAGTGCGATCACGCATAAACATGTTAAATTTATAGATATATACAAATAACGTCTAAACTAGATCTACAAACATTAAGTTATGAATAATGCTAATTTGTATTGTGGCAATATATTTTGATAAATCCGACAGTAAATGGAAAATTTTATTGAAGGTAAAATTAAATGCAAGTTTAAATAGAAACTGCTTAATATTCTGGAAAATTAAAATATTTATGGCATCTATAGAATATGAAATTGTCATATTTATTACGACGGTTGTAATACATATCAAGATTTATGTTGCTTTATATCTTGCTCTTAATTGAATAGATATTTATTAAAAGTCGATAGGCGTAGTATTAGTTTCATAAAATACAGGAGGTTTCGAATAAACATTGGCGATTAATTTAATTTGACATAATATTTATTCTGTTTATTTATTTATCAGGAAAAGTTTAATCTTTTCTGTTTCATTTTGTATAATGTATAATGACTTTATTTTGTAATCTTAAAATGAATGAAACGGATCACTTAGATATTAAAAATAGCAAAGCATTAGAGTAATTAATACTTAATTCCATTCTGTTAACATGATTGAAGTGAATCTTGCCTACCTAAAGTTAACAGGACTTTGTATGATGATATGATAATATAAATTAACATATCGTATGCACTATTCATTATTTCCCTGCAGCGTTATCAAATACCTACAGTATCTCATTAAACAGAAGCCAGAGAGTTACATGCAAACTACTTCAATATAGAAGACATCAATTCCTTAATATTGTTATTTCGTCTCAGAAAATTTTATCATATTATTAATTCATTCAAGTTCAAGAATTACGACTTCCTACTTATATATTTAATGTCTCTTTTTCTTTGAATTACTGTATGAATCATACGACGCTACGTGAAGTATTTTTAAGAAATTTGCTTAATGCAGTCTACTAATTTGGGTAAAAGCAAGTAACTGCGTTAATCTAAAGTAGGCCACTTTAATAAATTCTAAAATCTACCTGAGATTAGAAATTACAACTGAATATTATACCTTACCGCCCGGTCATATCAGATTAATAATTTTTGTTGAGAAGAGAAACGAAAATGCTAATTGGTATTTAAATAGTTTTTCATCCTTCTTAGCATATGTATACAATTTCGCCTGAAATCAATGTGACTTATCACCTAAACGAACGTATTAAGTATTTAATTAGAACTTGCAATTTGTTAATGTTATTTATACACCTAAAATAAATCATTATACCAAGTATTTTATAGGAAAAAGAAACAGCTAGCGGTGTAGATCTTTTTCGGCAAAAACACAAATGTAGTGATATGCTTCTAATGCTTTTTTCTAAAGCAGTTTAGACTCCTCAGGTACGAGGGACGTGCATAGCAGTGGCGTGCCGTGACATTTGATGATAGGGAAGCTGCGTTTCTGTAAGAAGNTAAATATATTATCAGTCATTTCTAAGCTATATATTCTTAGAATGTATAACTCATATTATTACAGGGACGAAATGAATTGTGCATACAACGTGTTAACTTACACTATTGTGAGAGCCGAAATTGGTGAAAATCTTGTTTTTAATTTTAGTTTATCGAGAGAAAAAAATTTTAGAGACAAAATGAAAAAAAAAAAAAACGTGTTAAAGACAATTAAAACTGTTTCCCACGGACTTATTTCCACTGAGCTCTCTCTTTCGGTTAGGGATGCAATACGTATAGAATATCCNTGTCCTGAATTCAAATATGGCATTAGTTTTTGCCTAGGAGCTCTAATTTTTAAGATATAGCATTTTAGCGAAATATACGTTTCAATATCTTAAGTTAAATCCATGGATCAAGTAAAAAAAACTAAACACGGAATTATTATTATTATATTATGCAAATATTATTCTATACAAAGATAGAGGAAAAAGTCATCAATAAAACTAAACAGTTACACATTGAGGAAGCTTCATTTCCGTGACTTTCGTGAATGTATTTTGGAGCAATCCCTTTTTAAATTCCAGTAGTAATCTGCCATCATATGCGTATCCCATCTTCTTTGGTAGGGGTCCTCCATAGTTTTAATATCCTGGTGAAATCTTTCTCCTTGGTCTCCAAAATTTTCAGGAAAACGGTCTAAGTGACTGTGTAATTAGTGCACCGTAATACTGATATTACACTCAAGGAATTTGAAACTGTTAAGCATCTCGTTTACCAGTTCAAGATAATTTTCAGCTTTGCGTTTGCCTAGAAAATTTCTGACAACTGCAACAAATGAAGTCCAGGCTTTTTGCTCAGCTTCATTCCTCGAATTTACGAAGGCAAGATCGTTAATGAGTTGTCTTATTTGTGGGCCGTCAAATATTCCTGCTTTAATTTTTTCTATACTTAACTGAGGCATAAGAATTTTACAAAGGCTTAGGTGGGGCATAGCACAAAAAAGGTTGGGAAACACTGATCTAGACACTGCACGGCTACAAATGCACCTCAACTCTAGTTGAAGCATTGAACGTCAATTCGTTACCGAATGCTTACTTCATTTGATGGATTTACCTGGAACTAACTGGATGGCAGACTAACAATGGGGAAAATATACAGGAATCAATTCTTGCATATATGATTTAGAACTGTACAAAGTGGAATTAGAGCTGCACATTTCATGTAGCACTGTACGTTAAAAAAACACGGATCTAAAAAAGTAGAGCTGATAGAGAAAAACTGATTTCATATTTGGATTCAGTGACCCAAATATATCTAAAATCAGTTCTAAAACCCTAGGCACCAAAAAAAAATTTTTTGTAGGCTTGTGTTATTACAATCATATACTTCATACAGTATCCTAATTAAAAATAGAATATAGGCTATTTCCATCGAATTGAGCATCAATACGTCGTAGGACCGATAAGTGTTTAAGGTATTTATCGTCTCGCGAACGATTGTGAGCTCTCTCTCTTTCTCTCGGTTAAGGACGCGATAAGGCAAAATTCTTAGAAAAGATTTCGCATAGCATCGTATGATTCATACAGCACTTCAAAGAAAAAAAGACATTACAGTAATTATATAAGTAGGAAGTTGTAAATTTCGAACCTGTATGAATTAATAATACGATAAAATTTTCTGGAAATAACAATATTAATTAAATTAAGGAATTGATGTTTTACTTTTATATTGAAGTTGTTTGCATCAAGCGAAATGTTTGCACGTAACTCTCTGCTTCTGTTTAATGAGGATTTAATGCAGGGATGTAATGAATAGTGCATACAACGTGTTAATTTACACTATTGTGAGAGCCGAAATTGGTGATAATCTTGTTTTTTAATTTTAGTTTATCGAGAGAAAAAAATTTTAAAGAGACAAAATGAAAAAAAAAACGTGTTAAAGACAATTAAAACTGTTTCCCACGGACTTATTTCCACTGAGCTCTCTCTTTCGGTTAGGGATGCAATACGTATAGAATATCCTAATAAGATATGTACAGTACATCTTTAGCAGCTGTGCTCAGCATCTGATTTTTCCGTCTGTAACGACGATACAAACCGTGTAAATAATATCGATTATTAAACGGGTATTTTTTGTTAAA